ATAGGTTATTCTTTGTCCTCTTGTGTTTCTGAGGGGACATAAATGTATGTTTCGTTGTGTTTAAAGACGTGTTTTGTAGCTGAGGTGGATGACGGGCGGCTGCAGGGATCGTTGACAGAATCTGTGTCTGGGTTTGTTGCCTTCTCTTGTACAGAAAGTTCTCCTCACTTTTCCTTTCTTCGTCAGGGTGCAACACCGTTTGTCCCGACTGCTCGCTTCCTGCAGGTGTAGCTTTATGTTGTTTGGACAGTCGACCTCGCTGCTCTGTATTCCTGTGTTTAGTCTGAAGGTGCTGATTGTGAGAATGCTTTTAAATCATTCACACAGTTGAGATCCACTTTTCTTCCAAACGTTTCTCGGCACGTAACGCGTTCCACAGTTTTTATGCTCTTTCAGTGTTGCATAGATCAAAACGTTCAGCTCATTCACAGCATTCATTCCTGCTCTGACTTTTGGTATTTGTGCAATTGTTTTTCTTTTTGAACTATTTAGTGTTTTCAGACATGTTTTTCTCTTTGACAATGAAAGGCGCTCTCTTCATGTCCTTCAAGCTCTTTGTGTTGTTGAAAACTTTTTACTGCTCATTTTGGCTTTTAGTTCAACTTTTTTCTGCTTCTTTTTGCCCATTTCAGCCTTTTTCACCTATTTTTCCTGATCTTTTCAGTAAATTTAAGCTTTTATGTTCATTTTTTTAGCTTGTTTTTGCTAAATTCAGCTTTTTTTCTGATTTTTCAGCTACTTTTTAGGGATTTTAACCTTTTTTGATTCTAATAATTTCAACTTTTTATGCTCTTTTTAGCGTTTTTCTGCAAATTTGAGCTTTTTCAACAATTTTTGCTAATTTCATTTTTTTTTGTAATCTATTCAGCCTCACTCCCTATTTCCTCATATTCTGCTCATTTTTGCTCTTTTCAGCTTTAATTTTTAAAAAATAAATTTCTGTTTTTCTTCTGCTTTCCACTTTAATTTTCCTGCTTTCAGCAAATGTCAGCTGTTCAAACTCAACTCTCATTAACAGTTGAGAGATGAAATCTTTTCAGCCTTCTTCAGCTGCTTTCAGCTAAAATCATTCTGCACTAAGTATTCACACTGCGGTTTCACATGTTCTCCACAAGCAGAGCTCGCTGTTTCATCTCCGTCTCCTGTAAATAAACTCAGTTCACCGTTCATATCTTGATAAAACCACAACTTTTACTGTCTGCTGACAGGGTGGAGAGATTCCTGATAGCAGCAGGTAAACTCTCTCAGACTTTCAAAATAAAAGCACTGGGAAAGCCCATTTAAAAAGAAAGCTGCCTGATCACGTCACGATTCAACATCCTGTTTGTCTTCCTTCTGGTCCCACTGGTTAAAGCTGTGGTCCCCTTGTGTGCAGGTGCTGAATGAAGTGGTGGTGGACAGAGGCCCGTCCTCCTACCTGTCCAACGTGGACTTGTACCTCGATGGACGACTCATCACTTCAGTGCAGGGAGACGGTGAGCAAACACGCCCATGAAAAACCGTTTCAGCTTCCAGCATTGCTTCACTTAAAACATTGACCATAAACTAAAAACAGTCCAAGTGTCTTATCTTTCTGTCCTCCAGGTGTGATTGTGTCCACGCCCACCGGGAGCACGGCGTACGCAGCTGCGGCAGGAGCCTCCATGATCCACCCTAACGTCCCCGCCATCATGGTCACACCCATCTGTCCGCACTCCCTCTCATTCAGGCCCATCGTGGTCCCTGCTGGAGTGGAGCTGATGGTAAAAACGATGATAATTTCTGCTAAAAGCTCCGAGCTGCGCTGCCTCTGATGACCTGACATGTCTCAAACAGATCACCTTGTCTCCTGATGCAAGAAACAACGTCTGGGTGTCGTTTGACGGCAGGAGGAGACAAGAGATCCAACACGGAGACTGGTGAATTCCATCAACTCTCCTCATCTGGTTAAACTTTTTAAATTTTTTTTTTTTTCTAATCTGCTTGTTTTATTTATTTTCTTGACAGTATCAAGATTACCACGTCTTGTTACCCGGTTCCGTCCATCTGTTGCCACGACCTGGTGTACGACTGGTTTGAAAGTCTGGCTCAGTGTTTGCACTGGAACGTCCGCAAGAGGCAGGCCCGACTCACAGACGTCTCGGACTCGTCAGACACAGAAAACTGAAGCCTCCGGTGGTTTTTGTTTTTCCTGTCTGGATGTTCAGGTTAGGTTTGTTCAGAAACGAGATGAAAACTGGACCGTACTGGAGCCAAACCAGCGTTAATCAGTCCCATAAGAGCTTAAGGAGCCATCACACGTGTGTGTTAGTATTTCACTGCAGGTTTATCTGCGGCTTGCAGAGAAAAAGCATGTTTCTCATGCGTAGTGCACGACCCAAAGCTTCATACGGCTGCATTGCTTTAACCACAACAGTGCATGAAAAAAGATCATGTGCTTATGATAGAAGTGAAAATAATGAAAGTTTTCTTTAGTCCTCAAATGTAAATCTGTACATAAAGGATTCTAGTAAATCTATTTAATGTCATATTTATGTGATGTTTTCAAAAAGCTTAGAAATATTTCTAATAATCAGATTAAGCACTTTGTTGTATATTTTGTGTAACTGAGCCTTTGTTTGTTTACTAAAGCTTCAGTCGGCTTTAAAAGTTAAGTTGAATTCAGGTCGCACGTAGCAGAAATTAGTTCCTGACGAGAAACTCGAAGACTGAAAATAAAGCTCAACTCTTCAATCATTAGATTTTTGGGTGCAGCCAAATTCAAACAAAACATAAAAAATGAAATAAACTGCACAAGGTTCCTATAATCTAAGGTTGCATATAAACGATCACAATTTGTGCTTGAATCCTGTCGATCATCAGCAAGGTACACACGGATTGTTCAAAAGCAATAAAAGTCAAATCCCAACAAAAAGGTGCTTTCTATGTTTTTATTGCAATAACAGAGATATATTCCAGACATCCAATTTCAGTAAATTACACTCCAATAACGTAGGAGACGGTTTTAAAATCGATATCGACTTGGTGATCAAAAAGAAAAGACAGTTCTCTACCAGAGATAAAACTTGGAAAGTTTTATATATTTGTTTTATTTTTAACTTTTTCCCAGAAATGTGCGGTGAGAAGCAGCAGCATAGAGTAATAATACTACGACACAACAGACCGATTACTGTGCAACAGTCAGGAACAACTGGGAGAAGAGTCTTCAATCTAAACGAGAAATGCTTTTCTGGAGAGAAAACAAGCAAACAGGAACGTAAAAACAGGTGACGTCATGCAAGATGGAGAGTCAGAGCTACAAACTTAAATTACAGTAAAAGGAAAAAACTAAACAAAGAACAAACGAAGCTTTGTGGAAGGTGTCTGGATTTATAACTTCTGGTTAATGACTGACAGCTGTTGGTGAAACAGTTCTAATAAAAATGTAGAAATGTTCTTTAATCCCAGATGTTACCTTTAAATGATTACAATTTATCTCATGACAACAAGACGCCTGGGGAAGTGTTCTTCCTCCTGACACAACAGGAAAAACTGGTTTTCTTCATAGTTTTTACACTTTGAGTATTTTCTGCATATATCTGATACATCAATAGAACTCATATATAAATGATACATATTTATGTTTTATATTTAAATATAATCCTCGCTATGATTAAAAAGAAGCATCCAAAACATGTCTACTCTGAAGACAACAGCTTGGACCTCGATAACCGGACTCCTGCTGATCAGTGAGTGGATAAAAGATAAAAGTAGCTCATTAGTACACGACGGCTTGTGCGAGATGAGTCTAGTGTGAACATAATTTAATGGTTTCATTGAGACCAGAAATGTTTGTCGAGCTGCACACCAACAAGCTTTTACTGTGCTTTGTGAAGTTTGGTCGCAAAATAAACAAAATGCTTTCATTTGAAATAATTCATGTTAATCCGGTGTGTTTGGCACAAGTTTCGTTATCTGGACCGGTTTACAAATGACTCAGTTTAGTAAATTCAGCGATCTTAATAAAAATAAAAGGTATGTCAGTGGTGTCCAGTTGCTCTCGTTTTCTCTTAAAGAACAAGTTTTTCACACTGAGAATTGCACTGTGATCATGAGCCATTTACATAAAATGTTGAAAATGGCCAGCACCTGAAAGACCTGCACCACTCTGCCAGATCTGCCAGAACACGGTCAATGTCCTGTAGTTTTCTTTGAATAAACTACAGGATTTGGTCCACCTGGCTTGGTTCAGGTTTCAAAAGCCGACGTGCCGATCGTCTCCGCCTGAGAAAACTATCGGACTCGCTGGCGATCGTGCGTCAGAACGACCGAAAGGAGCAAGTAGGTGAGAGCATCTTTAGCTGATCAACTCGTCTTCATTTGACCTCGAGTGAAATGTGCGACGGGGGACGTTCGAGCTGAAGTGACAGTCGTTGGAGGGAGAGAAACCAAAGGCTGTTGTTTGGGTCCGACAGGTTCCTCAGGCAGACACGTTCAGCTGAAGATAAATATTTAGGAGGGAGGGATCACAACAACCGTAAGGCTTTATTATACATGTTTTTCTCCGTTACGGTAGCCGTAAACCTTCGAGTGTTGGGTCTGACCCGGTTCTGTTTAGTGGAAGATCTCAACAACAACAGATGGAGCCTCTCCGCGGCCTCAGGATGGACTGGAGGGAGGGACAGAGAGGAAACATGGGCGACGGGACTGGAAAAAGTTTATGTTTCAGCAGTCTGGGGTTTAGTCTCACTCCTGCCCCCTTCTTTCCTCACTTCCGTCTCCTCCTCCTCCTCCTCCTCTTCTTCTTCCTCCTCCTCTCCGTCGTCCTCTTCATCTTCCTCTCCGGTGTGCTGCTCGAGCTCCTCTCTGGTGATCATTTCAAAGTCGTTTCCGTTGCTGTGCTGCGAGCCTTCGTCCTCCCGGCGGTCGCTGTCCGTGTCCGATTGGCGATCCTCCGGTCCCTCTTCGTCCGCCTCTTTGCCCTCTTCTCGCCCCGCCTCCTCTTCATCCTCCTCGTCGTCGTCCTTCTTTTCGCTGTCGGACTTCTCGTCGCTGTCTGACTTCTGAGCCTTTTGGGCGCTGCTGTCCTTCACGGTTTTGTCCGAGCCCTTCTTGTCATTGGCTTTAGGTCCTTTGTACTCGTGAGTGTAGAGCGGCCGGAACGAATCGATGAAGCCGACGTCTGCCGTCAGGTTGGGGAGGAACCAGAAGTGATGTCGTCCACCGGTCACCAGCCAGATGATGAGGAAGAGGATGCAGCGTGCTGCGGAGGGAGGAAACGACAGATGAGACTGTTTACGAACACACTTGAATTTATGAAAAAGTGATTGTTAAAAAAAACCTGTTGAATTTTCTACTTCACGGTCTGGAACATTAAAAAACACTGCCAGGTGTGTGTTCTATTATCACTCGCTGCCAAAGGAGGAGTGAATGTGTTTGTTAGCAAAATATCTCAAGAAATGGAAAAATCCCACTGAAACCCTCAGTAATATTTAGATGTATTTGTACTAACTTTTGGAGTCAACTCTATTTGAGATGGTTGCCACAGTTAATCAACATTAGTTTACGTAAAAATGTCAGTTTTACAGACATTGAGCACATGTTTGGTGTGATAGTAGCTGAGAGTCATCCTCAACACATACCCTGAGCACCCATAATGCATCTCAAGCAACATCACATTACATGAGATCTTTTGACTAAAACAGCTGTCGTTTCTAAATCTGGACCGTTAAGTTGTTTTTTTTTACTTAGTGGTTTTATGTTGTGCTTTATGTGTTGCTCACTGCGACTGAATCATAGTTGCTACACAAATAAAGCCATAAACACAGAACCTCCACAATGAATTAAATGGAAACACTTCTGTGACATATTACTGATGCCTGTAATTTTACATTAACAAGTTATCTTAAATGATCATAAATTAATTATAGAATACTGAAAATCAATGTACTGTATTTGGGTGTGTTTCCAGACCAGCAAATCATTGGAAACACTAAACATGTGGTTCAGTTGAATGGACTGAACAGATAAAGAAGTTGGGTATAATGAGAGGTACGTCAATGTCTCCCGCTTTGAATGGTGGATGTTTGTAGTTTTCGAGATGGGTGTTTTTGTGGACTGGAATTGAACTGGGAATGCAAATAAACTTGGTGTGAAGTGGGCAAGAGTTACATTTTGTATAAGAATAGATAGAGGTTTGTTTTGTTTTATTTAGCTATTCTGAGGCGCTGCAGTGACTGATCTAGGCAAGGGAGCAATTTTATCCACTACTAGGTTTACATATATACATTTAGCGGGGTAGCCATCTTGGATTTTGACGTGACAACCCAATTTTTGAAAGGAACCTTTCTTACACCTAGATGTAGCCCCACACCCAAATGGAAGTCAGTACCTCACTTATATTTTAAGTTATCACGCTCACTGGATGGACAGAGGGTGTGTCCAATTCCCGCTCTTCGCTCTGCGGTGCAAACAAAAAGCAACGATCGTGTCCTCTCTAAAAACTTACCGACAGCCAGGAGCAGGATACTGGCCACAAAGCAGCCGGCTGCAACACTCAGATAGTACACTCCAACACGCATTTCAGCTGGCCACAGCGGGAACAGAGTGGCTGCGATCACAGCAATAACTGAGGAGAAATAATCCCATCAAATTAAGATTATTCTTCATTTCTTTTTAACAAAAATCACTTGAATTTTTCTCACCAAGGATTAGGCCCATAGCAAATGTCTTAAAATGAACAGGATCATAAATCCACACGTACACCTGCAGGAGAGAAAACAAAGTTGTTGTTTTTTTATATTTGAGAGGACTTCCTGTTTTTAACGGCTCTGTTTGGATTCTCACCTCATTTCCATCCAGAAACAGTTGATCCTCATGAGGCTCCAGTTTAAACTTCTTCTTCACCTCTTTCTTCTTCTTTGGGGTTCCTGGACTCTCATCCTGTTCATGAAACAAAAACGATTTTTTTAAACTACCGGTACATACAGTATACTCAAAATGTGATCAGAAAAAAAAAACAAAAAAAATATGAAACACTTCCTGCTTGTAGAGTTTTATAGTTTGAGTTTTATCAGTTAAATATTAAGCAGCCTTGTGTTTAGTTGTGCAGATCACTGGAACAGAGTTTTATTTATTTTCCACGCAGTTGTGCTTCTGACCGTCTTTAATCCAAACACCTCACAAATCTAAGTGTCAGAGGATCCACAGCTCCGCACTTTAAACTTGTGCAGCACGGTCAACATTCGCTCGCTGGCGGTCAGGTTTGGACATCGATCAGCTCAAAGTAAATATTACAGAACAATCAGTTTGGAGGCGTCTCTGATTTCGATTGGTCCAAAATGTCCCGACCTTTGACAGCAGGATGTATCGACTCACACTCTTCTCTTTCTTGGTTTCTGCTGCCTCAGACTCTTTCTTCTTCTCCTTCTTCCCTTTTTTCTCCTCCTCCTTGCTGCTGTCGTTCTTGATTTTGTCCTTCTCTTTCTCTTTCTTGGGGTCTTTCTCCGGCTTTTTCTTCATCACCTTGAGAGCTCGGTGGAAGAACTGCTTCTTAAGAAGTCTGTAAAGAAAACACGGGACAACTTTGGATTGTCAGGTGCTATAAATTATTACATTTGGGACTTTAGTGAAATGTTTGACTTGATGGTATTTTTTTTTTTTAAGTTTCAGCTTCTCAAATGTGATATCTGCAGGTTTTGTTCACACTAAATAACATTAAACTTACCGGTAATATTTATCTGTTTGAAGGAGATCTGATATAGAAATGGTGGTCTGGGTTTTGTAAGAAATATACAGAGATACAAATAAAGTGCCCACGATCGTAAATTGTTAAACTTGTGAATGACTTCATTCTTTGATCAATAAAAAGTGCTGCTGATTCGCCCACAGGACCGATTTATTCAGCAGATTTATTTCCAGACATTTTTTGTATTTCATGAGTAAAAAGCTAAAAACATGTATCGTTCAAATCCAGGTGTTAAGAAAAAAGTAAAAGTGTTCGTAGCTTCCAAAATAAAACATTCAAGAAAGTAAAGGGTGACACGGCGTTTGGTTTGCTGATCAGAAAAATAAACACTTTTATGAGAATATCATATGTTGGTAAGAAATGTTATAAACTGGAAAACTTCAAACACCGACATTCAGATCAGGTAATCACGCTTTCTGCTGAGCAGGTGCAGGAAGTTGCACCTCAACGAGCAGCAGCACCGACTTCAAGTCAACACTTATTTTTTTGAGCTTACGTCAAATTTTATTTCAAATTAAAGACTTCCAAAAACTGCACACACAGCTCCTCTCTCAATAACAACTGTCCTCATCTTTTCATCACACTCCCTTTCTGCTCATAAAACTATCTGAGCTCTACTTGTTGAGCTAGCTAGGTGCATCTGCCACATAAATACATACAGCTGTGGAAGCCAGATGTTTGTGGCTTAAAAAAAAGACCTCAGCCAGATTAATTAATCACAGTCTGTGTGTAACTGATAGGTGATTGTGATGCAGCTGCCGTGAGGACAAACTGCACCACACAGAAGCTTTAATCTATCTGGTTCTTACAGAAACTGAGTTGTTTTATTATACTCAGCTGTTTGTCTCATGTTTTATAAATCAGGTGATGAAAAAGTTTGATTTAACCCCAAGGTGAAGCTGTGATTATTTGTTTTAACTGTTTTTTTTGGTTAGGTTTTTTGCCATGTTTTAGTTGGTCTTAAAGTTATACCAGAGGGAATTAAAACCAGTAAATCAGATGTATACAGCTCAGAAACAAACGAGGCATGTTTGTGTCATACCGACCTGTTGCAGTAATCCACCACCGACTCCCTGGTCGTGAACACAGCCTCCTCTCCCTTCTTAGCTTTGGCCCACTTGGAGTCCAGCAGACAGTCCACCGCCTTGGAGGCTGAACGTAAAGACAAGACGACAATCTGAACTTGTATCAAACATCAAGTAACGATCAATATGATTGGAGCACCTTACACTTCCTCAAGTCCAACATCTTTTTTTAAACCTTAGCCACTTCAAACGGTAAACAAGTTGATTGACATTTGAACTTGTAGCTCATATATTAAACCAGCAGTTATAAACTAACTTTATAATTCACTTGGATTTCACAAGCCCAACACCTGCCGAGCCTTTCTTGATTCTCGTTAACAACAGGACTTATAAGAACCTCCATGGAACCAGCCGTCTGCTGCCACAATTACACCGCGAACAATACCTGAGCCCGACAGCTAACAATGAGCTGAACTACCTCATGGTTTTACTCTTCCACCAGTCAAGCTGATGTTTATCTCTGCATCCCTCCAGACTAATGACGTAATATACAACATGAGATAAAACTTTAAATGTACTTAATGGGTGAAGAAACAACTAGAGGTTCCCAAGTTGAGTTCCTAACTCTATGGACTATATGCCTACAGGAATTTCTCTTTCCATTCCTGAGTGACCATGTTGCTTTGTGTCCAGAAACATGTTTAAAATCATTACAACATTATGTTACTGAAGTTTTTGTTTAAAGTGAAGCTACAGATGAAGGGAGATCTATATGAACACGCTCATCAGCCCAAAAAAACTCTTCTTCATTTGTCAGGTTTTTGTAGTTGCCTTATAAATAGTTTCTTTCAGCTGCTCCCTTCTGCAGGGGTTGCCACAGAGAGCCAACTAGCACGAAAGATTTGGCTTTTTTTTTTTTTTAAAGACTGATGCCCTTCCTGATGCAACCTTGGGCTTGAACCCACAACCTCAGGATTACAAGACGGCAGCGCTGACCACCGAGCCGTCTTTATTGTTGCTTTTTAAACATATTGCATTTATTCAAAGACAAGTACATTTTGTAGGCTAAATTATCTGTTCTCATAGCTAGCCGTTTGCATACAACTCTGGAAAGTTGAAGAGTATTAAGATATTTTTGTGGAGATCTGGATCTGCAGATAGCTGAAGTAGAAGTACTCTGGCTCAAATTACAGGTTATGTGGTTATGCTGCAGCAGTTGTACCTCAGGGTACAAAGCATTTCCCATAACTGACAAATGTCATGGAGTTAGACAAAAACAAACACGGTGATGGAGGGAAAACGCTACGCAGCTGCCGAGGCAGCATGAACAGAGCCAACACTGTGTTTCATGACAAACAACAAGGTTTCAACAGTTAATCTCCTCAGTCGCCTCCACCCAGGACTGAAGCTGGGTGTACAGCTGAGCACCTACCGATGAAGTAGTCGACTCGATGGCCCATCATGTTCGTAGACTTGGTGGGGCAATTAAAACGAAGGTACTTGGCCACCGCCTTCTCCTCCTTGGTTGGCTCGCTCACCTCCTGCAGGAACAAACACATCAACAAAGTCTGTCTCATACAGTTTTTTAATCTGGCAAAAATAATGATCTCCTTTGTTTTTGCACAAAACTACAGACAAAAAAAATCCAGTCCTTTGGGTTCATCTAGTGATGAATATTAATTTATCAATCTACAGATCTGGTAATAACACCTAACGCAACAGGAAGTAAACATTAGAATAATCCCTATATTTGTCCCGTTACTTCCTGGTTTTTAGTTTGTAGAGAGATGTGCTGGTAAGAAACCAGCCTCTTTAATTGCAGTTGTTTCATGTTTAATAACAAAGCTGACTGCAAACGAGCAGGTAAATAAAAAGGTCAGATTCACATAAGCAGGTAACATTTTTCATCATCACATTGAGGGAAAAAAGAACTGCAAGAAAGGAATATTCTACAAGCTGTTATATTACCCATTCATTAATTTAGACCTTTTAAATTTTCTGAAGACTGGCAACATTAATTGCTGCATTTTTAAAAGGGTTGCTATTAAAGATTTTATTCAGTCACATTTTTCCGATTGCCGTTTTCTTCTCAAAGACATTTTCTCATCCACAGATTTGGATCAACGAATGACCTACAGATCCGAGCACAGAACGAGTCATGCTGTTGTGATTATAGCTTAGTTTTAGCTGCTGTTTATCTCCACAGAAACTTCAGCTCACAGCATCTTTTTTTCAGGTTTTGCCACATACTTGAGACTAATAAAATACCAACAAAACAATAAAAGAAAAAAGGGGAGTCGACACTATTTTAGACAAAGACAAGTTGTGACTAACTCTGTAAACTTACTTATAATTTACTATGAAATTTACCTTTTTTTTTTCCGTTGCCAAATCCCTTTGAATAATGTCTGACATCATCATAAAGCTTGGGGATTTCCTGATGATATCCCTCCAGGACAATAAAAAGTGAGTTTGAAAACTCGCACTCTCATAAATAAAACCAGCTCGTTTATAGCCTGGAGCTAATAAGATAAAAATCAACAAACTACTAATAGTTTTGAAGCTTTTAAAATGGGAGAATTTGTAAATATTGAAAAATTCCTCATTGTTACTCATTTTACCAGCATGGGTCACATATTAGAAATGCTAGTCAGTATTAAATACAGATCATAGTAAGAGATGCAATACTATTACATATCAACTGACAATGCAGCTGTTTTTCATCCATGTGTTGCCAAATACAACTTCTTTCATACTCCAATCCAGGTCCTAGAGGGCCACAATACTGCATGTTTTAGTAGTTTTTCAGCAGGTCTTCAAGTTCTGCAGAAGCCAGTAGTCTCTTATTCATTTAAATGAAGTGTGTCAAAGCAGAGAAAGATCTAAACCATGCAGGCTACAGCCCCTCCAGGACCAGCACTAAGCATCACTACTCCATTCAGTATACCTAATACTCCAACACGAACCTCTATTAGATTATATACACTACTCACAAAAAGTAAGGGATATTGAGCTTTTGGACGAAATTTATGAAAAACATAAAAAGTTCACACTACAGTGATATATCATAAAAGTAGGGCATTTAAGTAGAAGCATGCAATGGTGATGATTTCCTCATCTCAAACAATTTATTGAAACAAAAGCCAACAACTGTGGTGGGTATACCCCAACAAAAAAATGTCAGTATCCCAATAACTTGTCATGTGCCCTTGAGTATCAATTACAGCTCGACAACAGTGTCTCATGGTGTTCACAAGTCAACTTACTGTCTGCTGGGGCATCCCACTCTTCTTGAAGGGTGCCCTCAGGTAGGTCTGGAGTGCAGGCGTTACGAGCCTCTACAGAGACTCAGCTGATCCCATGGGTTTTCTACGGGATTCAGGTCTGGAGAAAGTGCAGGCCACTCTATGTGAGGTACACAGTCTCCAGCAGCCGGTTCCTAATGATGTGACCTCAATGAGCTGGAGCATTATTGTCCATGAAGATGAAATTAGGTCAGTGTTCATGCAGAGGCATGCCTGAATTAATGACATTATTCAGGTAGTACGGGCTTGTCACAGTACCATTCAAAAAGTGTAGGGCACTTCTGTATTGAGTAGACACATCTGCCCACATTGTATTGCAACTCCACCACCACCAAAGGCTCATCTGGTGACAACAGTCATAACGCTCTCCTCGACGTCTCCAACATTGTTGGCGCCCATCATTTATGCTCAGCGCAAATACTTTCATCACAGAACAGGACTGAGGTCCACTAGCCCCTCGTCCAGCGTAAATGCTCCCTGGTCCATGCAAGACACAGACCTGGCACACCTGTGCTTGGTGGTGTGGTCAGGTACCCTTGCAGGTCATAGCATGCAGACCACTCTGATGTAAATGATTTCAAATAGTCGGACATGACACTTGGGTGCCTTTCACCTCCCTTAAATGTGCCTAGATTTGAGTGGCATTCACCATCCGGTTCCGTAGGTACTGTTCAAGGTGACTTTATTGTCATTTGCATCACATGTGGTGGAACAAAATTGTGTACAAGGTCCCAGTTACACCCAAAAATAGCAAAATTATAAAAAAGAAACAATATAGAAGGATCTAATATATATGCTAAACAATAATAACGTAATATACGGTGTATTAAACAGCAGCCTGAACACGAGTCTGTTGTGAGCAGATGGGTATGAATATTGAAAGCTTAAAATAAGAAATCAGCAGCATCACAATATTCACAAAGAAGCGGCCATCAATGTGGAATGTGGCCAAAGGATGTCTTCCATGTCTTTGTGACTCTTCCAGTCTCTATCTCTGTTGCAACCTGCTGAGGACACTGCCGCTAATATCAGTGGCCAGTTCTGTCCGAGGACATCCAGTTTGAAGCCTCGCAATAATGAGGTACTGTCAATCAATTGTTAGGTGTCCTCTTGGTTTCATGACGTCAAAATGTGAACAGCACGATAAGGAGGACTGTTTCAAATACGGATTCTAATTGAACCAGGAAACTTATTGGTCATTCATGAATCAAACACGAATAATTACATGAATTTTTGCCGTTAAGCTCCTTGTTCGAGAACAAGTTGTTCAAAAAGTACTGACTCGTTCAACAGATGGGCATGTGCATTCAAAAGCTTAGAGAAGGTCCCATTAAGTTCACCTGTAAAGGTTGTAGTGCATTTCAGGTTCATCATGAAATTTCACCCAAAAGCCAGATATCCCTTACTTTTTGAGAGTAGTGTATTTAAAGCCAATAACTGGCACTTTAAAAATATTTTCAGAGCGTTTTGAGATGTTGAACGAGTTAATAAAAAAAAGACCTGTAACCAACATGTACCGGTAAACTGTTGCATAACAAATCCCAAGTTTTTATACATGGTACATTTATTATACCTGCACACGGAGTTGAACATAAATGCACTGTGCTGACTCACTGGTAAAACTCCCACCGATTGTTACACATTATGTAAACACGCAAGGTTGAAGCTGACGCAGCTTAGCATCAAACCTCAATGAAACAGCTCAATTTCGATTATTATTTTAACTCGGACACAAACCATAGCAGCGCATTAAAATTTCCACATCAGCATGTGAGCGCTACCGGCGAAGAAAATCACTACAAACTGCTTAGACGCCCTAAATAAAGTGTTGTTTGTTTTTGGTGCCAGGCTAATGCTAGCCGCTGTTAGCCTCCGTCTGTTTCATGTGCCGCCTGTTAACTGCACCTCCTCGCGCAGACGCCGCCGCAGAAGCGTAAAAAATAAAATTTTAAAACGCGAAGCGTGCTGCAAAAAAACTGCGTTTTTTAATTGTATCCGCGGTATGTGGACGGGCAACGTATTTATTCTGAATGAGGTGACGTTACCTGGATCCGCTTCTTGTGCCTCCTGCGCTCCGCCATGATCCTCCAACTCAGCTTCTCGTGTGCGCGCGGTGTCGGGCGCGCGCGCTGAGTCTCGCGAGATTAAGCGTGAGCTAACGGAGGCGTCCCGTAAAAATGCGTTTTAAACACAGTTGACATTTTTTTAAATTTCATAACTCAATTTCACTTTTTAAATAAATTTATTCCTAAACGTGTAAAATAATGTTTCAATAAGGTCCATTTAAATTGATAGTATCTATTATTATAATTAATATTTCTTTATCTTTAACAAATAATTTTTTGATAGATTACTACTTTTTTTTAAATTTATGTAATACTACTACGGTACTAATAATTAAATTCTTAGTAAAATCAACCCTTTAAAAAAAGTGGTGACCAAAGACAAAACGTTTTACTTTCCAATATGGAACTTTTGTCTTAAACTTCTACATTTTTCAATGTATTGCATAATTTTATGTTAAAATCAGATTAGAAAAAGTAACATTTTTGAGTTGCTTCATATATAAAAATAATATTTTCTCAATTGTTATTAAGAATCCATGTGTTAATAATGATTTCTGCTTTGAGGATTTTATAAAAGACAAGTGCAGGAAAAAGGTAATTGTGTAGTTTTTCTTAGACATTCAGTTCTTTATCTTAACACCATGAAAAAAATACATTTTACCACTGGCTGTTAAAAAAAGTGCATTTACTAAATTACTAAATACATGCAGAAAACAATCAAGCATACAAAATTAAATACAAAATGAACAAACACCTTATTTTGGTTGGCAGAGTTGTTTTTAAATATGATGTCTATTGTCTTCTCCTGAGCTGAATTAAAACCAAAATGCAATTTGTGACTTAAAATAAGAATCTACATTCAAAGAGAGACTAGGGTGTGAAGTGATAAAGACAAAAAAAAAATAAATGATGTAGAGCCATAAAGTACATCATTGCTGTTAAAAATATTTACATATATGTGGAAAAATACAGATATGTAAGAGACATTTGGTCACAGTAGATAAAAACATCTTCATCCCAGTGATTCATTGTGTAAACAAATCTACAGCCATGGCAGAAACGGTTCATCAGGCCTGAGGGTGCAGACTGACCCAGGTTCAGTTTGTATTTAGTCAGCAGTGATCAGGCGGTCTCACTGCTGGCTGAAGGAGGAGAAATGTTTTCTGCCTCGTGGAGGTGTTCAGATGATTTGGTGCCGTCAGGATCTCTTGGACTCGCCATCATGTCCTCGCTGTTGCAGTTACCGGGGGAGCCGATCTCTGGGGAGCGTTCCCCGGGCTTCTCGGGGGTGGCCTGCAGGGTGGTGCCGGTCAGAGGCAGGTTCAGCATGTACAACATGCTGCCCATGCGCCTGGACACCTGCAGAGGAGGGAGGAACGTCAAATTTAGAGTGGAACACAACTGCTGTTTTCTTTCATTCTTGAGTTTAATCTGGAGCTGCTGAACATTTATTATGAGACATTCTTTGTAATTAAGTTGCTTATTACCTTCCTTTTAGACATGTTTTTGTTTGTGCATGTGTGACGGTGTTACCAACATCTGTCATGAACCACTGGATGAAATTCAATCAAGCTCACAGAAAATAACCCCTGGGTGTATATACCTAAAACTGATTACCCTTTAGAGCACGTAAGTCAAACTCAAGGTCCGAGGGCCAAATGTGGCCCTTGGTAACATCTTATCTGGCCTCAAGATGATAGTTTAAAAGTAAAATATTTTTATTGGTTTTCATTTTGCTTAAAAACTAAGCACAGTTTATTTTTTTTCAGACTTTTCCTGACAGGTGGCCAATTTGAAATTTTCCTCCATCTTTGATTTTGATGCTGAAAAAGCAACAGAGAACATCAAATGAGACGGATGAAACTCTTATTGACGAACCTGCAACCATGAAAACATGTCAGGTGTCTGACTGGAGTTAACGTATTGACAGAAACTGGCCCTTGATTTGAAATAAGTTTAAAGTTTTGGCCCCGTTTTGTAACTGTTTGACACCCCTGCTTTAGAGCCAACTCCATTCAAGATGGCTGACACAATCTACTGACCTGAGAAAACACAACAATGGTTATAACTTAGTCATTTTAAAAATATTGAGCTAAAATTTGTGTAGTAAGTCAAAGTCATTTACATCACATACTCTGAGTGACGCCTCAATATATCGCATGAGATAACGTTAAAGGTTTGACCAAAATATCTACAACTCTGATATTTATGATGTATTAAAATCTCTGGCATCGAAGGAAGTGTGTGATATGAATTCCTTCAAGGAATGATAGGCCTTTAGTTTATGATGAGAAGATGAATCGTGTTTTTAGTGTTTGATTACCTGTGACCGAATCTTCAAAGCCGGCCCCAGTTTGAGCCCCAGTGTATCCAGTAGGTGCTCCTCTGAAAGAAGAGGCAGGGTCTCTCCGTCTATCATGTGGTCCTTAAACGTCTGGTAAAATAATCCCAAATTAGACCAACAAAGGCACAAAGAGAAGAAAGACCTCCATGCAGAATCATAATTTTACCAACCTGAGCGTATTCTGAACAGGTGGGAATACTGTTGACGAAGTTGTAAACGTCGTTCACCGTCCACTTCCTTATGTCTTCGGGTATTTCATCGCCGTTAAGAAAGAGGTTCGGTGTACCTTGAAACAAAGACTCAATCTAAGTTAAATGTGCTTTAGGACTGTATTAATGTTCTTTAGTTTAATTCCCAAACTCACCAGCTGGAAGGAAGCCGTTTCCAGGGACGGGGAACATGTAAGGCATCCCTGTAAGAGCCCCACCAGTAGACGGGTACATGAATTTTTCCTGGAAAGCAGAGCTGGACATGTCTTTATCATTTGTGCCCCCGTTGGCCACATCTGGACACCCATCTTGATTGGTCGCACAGACTTTCCGTAGACCTGCCTCCCCTTCTTTGTAGGTCTTCCTGCTCCCTGCAGCCAGTTCAGAGTCTATTTTGACCTGATGGTGCGTTTTACTGGGGGCACACTCCTCCCCAACGTCACCCTTTGCTTCTATCTCCTTCTCCTCCCCGGATGTGGCCTCTGGACTCTGCTCTACACTTTTATCTTCAGCTGGACCCTTCAGGCTGGGCGTGTGGTTCTCTGAGCTCTTGTGAACTGCTGGCCTCCTCCCGGCCCTGCGGCCCCTCTCTCTGTGCAGCGTGCTGATTGGTGGGTAGGGGCTGGTCGACATAAGGATGCTGTTGGAGTGCAGCTCGTCCAGGGAGGGACGGTGGACGAAGACGTCATGGCTGTCTGGCATGCGCTGGCGACCTCTGAACAGCATGGGGTTGGAAGGGTACGACACCGGGTTTTCAATTCCCATCAGGCCTTTCTGGTGGGCGTTCTCCAGCTCTTTCTGGTGCAGGATGGCATTCATCTCCATTCTGAAAGCGTGCACACCATTACTTGTCACAAGTGCGCAACAAAAATGACAGAGCTAACCTTTGTTGCAGCAGAGAGGAGAGAATATTACCATGGTTTGAACCACGACTCTGAAAAAGGTGGGATGTTGTGTAAAATGTAAATGAAAACAGAATCCATCCATCCGTCCGTCCGTCCGTCCGTCCGTCCGTCCGTCCGTCCGTCCGTCCGTCCGTCCATCTATCCATCTATCTATCTATCTATCTATCTATCTATCTATCTATCTATCTATCTATCTATCTATCTATCTATCTATCTATCTATCTATCTATCTTCTGAGAGGATTCCAAGGCATTTCCAGTCCAGCCAAGAGACAAAGCCCCTCCAGCATGTCCTGGGTCTTTCCAGGTCTACTCCCAGTTGGACATGCTCTGAACACCTCCCTAAGGGAAGCATCAAGAGTACATTCTTGTCAGATACCTGAATCACCTCAGCTGGCACCTCCCGAAGCGGAGGAGCAGCAGCTTTATTCTGAGTCTCTCCCAGATAACTGAACCTTTCATTCTCTCTCTAAGGGAGAGTCCGGCCACCCTGCAGAGAAAACTCATTTTGACCGCCTGCATCCTTGATCTTGTTATTTCATTCGCTACCCAGAGTTTGTGACCATAAGCAAAGGCAGGAGCGTAGATTGACGGACCTCCACAAAGTACACAATGCTGCACCCACCAATCCTTCTGTCGATTCCACGCCCCATCCTGTCACTACTCGTGAGCAAAACCCTGAGCTACTTGAAGTCCACTTGAGGCAGTACCTCACTACCAACCTAAAACCAGAAACCCAGTTTTGTGCAGAATGGTAAACCTTCGTCCATGTTTACATCTGAAAGATTTAACCTCTCTAAAATGTTTTTTGTATCCAGTCCTAGTGGCCTTGTCAACGAACCTTAGTTGCAGAATGCTCCTCCGGCCATTTCTTATTCGTCCCACTTAAGCTTAGTGCCAATTGTTGCACCTGTTCCAACCGTTTTGAGCCATACAATTTCAAATTAACTTTTTTTCCCTTAAAAATTGTAGATGTTTTCTGTTTTTATTAAATTTTACAACATCCCAAAACTTTTTTCCAAACTGACGTTTAACACACAAAAAATAGTAATTTTGCAAACTCATATGGTGGTATTTTTGTGAGACGCTGATGACGTTCTTGCACGTACCTTGCTATATTTTGTTTGTGTATGAGCTCCTGTCGCCGGGCAACTGTTTCCATGGGTTCTGAAGGCAAGAAGCCATAGCCAGCTGAGAAAAGGAGCAATCAGACCGAGAGGCAGGCTGTTAATGGGAAACTTCAAGCCTCAAAAGTCCACAGTCTGTGTGAGAAGTTCGACTCACCTGGGCCAGGAAACGTTCTACCAGGCAGGACATTAGCGTGAGGAGGTAAAGGTGGACCAAGGTGAGGCCCCACGTGCATATGTCTGGCCTCGGACGGTACCATCTCAGTGGGAGGAACCAATTCCCTGATGAGAGAAAGGCAAACAAGATAAAATGTCGATATTTAGACCCAGCTGAGCTGAGGTTTATGTCCTCGTTATAATCTTTCACACACTTTTTCTTTTAGATTTTGCTGGAAGTATTAGAAAAGCTTTAAAAAAAATGTGTGAACAAGTTTGAATCATTCTAGAATTTGACTTTATGGAGGTTTTAAGATGCAGACCTTTCCATGAAACGAGGTTCGAACTGTGCCGGGACCCCCTGCAACCTCTGTTGCCCCTGGGCGAGGATCTGCGGCGCCATGGCCATTTGGTTCCTCATTATGAGCTCCTGCCTCTGTCTGAGCTCTGCAGGAGGAGAAGAAGCACCAGAAGTTACTGTGAGGCCAGAGAGGTGGAAAAAACAAGCACACAACCAGAAAACAACAAAAACAAACAGAAATGTGCACAGATTGTAAAAACCCTGTCTATAGGTGATATTAAATAATTGATTAAAATCAATACATGATGCTTGTTGCTTGTTGGTTTAAAGTATTTGTCTCCAGATCAAAATGTATTTTATGTTGCTGATTCAGCTTTCCCTCTATAGCGATTCTGTTTCTTTTCTTTATTTTTAATTAATAATTTTTGATATGCAACAGCTTCTGCATTTTTATGATGTTCAAATGTCACATTTTTTTGTAACATTTATATACATTTTTAAATATTTAGGCTTATTTACTGTTTTTCCCCCTTTGAAATACATTGAGATATGTAATTTATTTAAAAAAAAGCCCCTTTTTGAATTTTACATCAGCAGATTTGCTGTTTTATCTCTTCTTATGCTACTTTTGGCTTTTAACTATCTTTTTGTTACTTTTAGTTAGTGTTTTGCAACAATAAGCTTTTAGGTAGTGTAGTGTAACTTTTAGTTAGCATTTTGCTATTTTTGTTTGTAGTTAGCGTTTTGCTATGTTGATTTTTTTTTTTACCATTTTGATACTTTTATTTTATTTTTTGTTAGCATTTTGCTACTTTTTTTAAACATTTTGCTACGTTTATTTTTTGTTAGCATTTTGCTACTTTTGTTTTTAGTTAGCATTTTGCTACTTTTATTTTATTTTTTGTTAGCATTTTGCTACTTTTATTTTTTAGTTAGCATTTTGCTACTTTTATTTTTTTGTTAGCATTTTGCTACATTGTTTTGTGTTAGCATTTTGCTACTTTTGTTTTTGTTAGCATTTTGCTACTTTTATTTTATTTTTTTAGCATTTTACTACTTTTATTTTTGTTATCATTTTGCTACTTTTGTTTTTGTTAGCATTTTGCTACTTTAATTTTTGTTAGCATGTTGCTACTTTTATTTTTGTTAGCATTTTGCTACTTTTGTTTTTAGTTAGCGTTTTGCTACGTAGTTTTTTTGTTAGCATTTTGCTACTTTTATTTTTTGTTAGCATTTTGCTACTTTTTTTTTGTTAACATTTTACTACTTTTGTTTTTGTTAACATGTTGCTACTTTTATTTTATTTTTGTTAGCATTTTGCTACTTTTATTTTTAGTTAGCATTTTGCTACTTTTATTTTATTTTTGTTAGCATGTTTCTACTTTTACATTTTGTTAGCGTTTTGCTACTTGTATTTTTTGTTAGCATTTTGATACTTTTTAGCAAAAGGTTTGATACTTTTAGTTTTACCTTCAAGCTCACGATTTAATACTTTTAACATGAACTTATGGGTTTTTATTTATTTATTTATTTGCTTTTTCAAGATCTAACCCATTTTAGCCAGTGTTTCACTTAACCTAGAGCTTGCGTGTTGCTACTTTTCATTATTGTTTCGCTATTATTAACTTTTAGTTTGCATATTTTTTTCTCTCTCTGTCCTCCGGTGAAACCAGACGTGTCTGTGGCCTTGACGGCGGACTTATCTCCTGGCATGTTTAGAAAAAACAAAGATGCTTTGTCTCTCTCCTCACCCCTCACTTCCCCAGGTCGTGGACATGTGACAGAGCCTCAGCCGAGCTGGTGATAAATAACACCTCTTATCTAGACAATGGCTGGGGGGGGGGGTTCTGGACTATGCTATGTCTTCACCGGCCTATATGTACATGTACATCAGACGAATGTACGTACTTATTCTCGTTGTACCTCGGTGCAATGATAATAAAGTTTATTCTGATTCTGCTACTTTTAGGTAGTATTTTCCTACTTTATTTAACATTTTGTTACTTAAAACAGTTCAGATAGCATTAGCTACATTAATGTTTTGCTGCTTTTAGCATTTTTCTTTGATAGCTAGTGTTTTGTTACTTTAGTTTGCATTTTGGCACTTTGTGAAACTTTTACTACTTTAGCTCTTAGCTAGTTCTTTACTTTTAAGATAGCATTTTGATACTTTTAGCTTTAAGCTAGACATTCTGCTACTTTTAGTTGTCAGCTGTTTTGCAACTGTAGTCAGCGTTTTGGTACTTTTAGCAATAAAACCAGTATTTTGCTGCTTTTAAATTTTAGCCTACATTTGATGACTAAGCTATTTTAGCTAGTGATTTTCTCTTTTTAGCCTTTGGGGAGCATCCCACTTTAGCTTTTGGTTGGTGATCAGCTGCTTTTAGTTTTAACAACTTGGTTTCAGTTTCTTCAATCATTCTTTCTGCATGTTGGCAGAAAATGCAATTTCAGCCAATATGTTTATTAGTGATATTTTGTCAGTTTCACCTCCAGCTGACATCCCATTGACCAGCCGATACCAGTGCTTCTCATCCAGGGCGCCCTGCTCTCCCAGGGCCGTCATCTTCCTCAGCTGCTCCCTGGGGGTCATGACACGAACCACCTTTAACCTCCACCTGAATACCTGCCATCAAAAAATCTAATTAGTGACACAATTTCTCCAAACTGATGAACATAACAGCCACAGTAATTTTACCTGTAGTTTTTTTTTTTTATATTTAAATATATTTTAACCATATAAACAGACAGATGTCACACTGTGTGTTTATTGATTACATTTAATTAGCTTGCATATCAGAACAGGAAGTGCACAGATTTTTGTAGTTTCTTTTATCACCACTAGAGGGCAGCAGTTAGCTGATGCCCATACCTGCAGAGAATGTATGTAAATTTAGAATTACAGTATTTATTTTGGAAAGTCATTGCAGATAATACAGAATTCTGGTTATAGTAATTGTGCTCATTCATTAAAGAAACCTTTTGAAACCAAATTCAGAATTTATGCACTTCAATAACAACAATAATAATAATTTTTAATTCACTTTCACTTGCTTGAACACATAAATTCAAATCCTAACACATCTAAAAACCAGTAAAATAGTATGAAGATAAATCAGTCTAAAATGTAGTCATGCAAGCATATAAAGAGATGTATGTGTACAAGTTTTACAAATGCGTACTGCAAGATAAATACACACATTAACAGTTGTTCAAATGTACACATTTCAGTTTGCACAAATATTCTGCACCCTGCAGCCTTGAGCGCAGCAAGAAACTCTCAAGTCTCATTCATAGGCAAGCTGACCCATGTGCTCGTGTTGACTGATTCGTCCACAGCAGATGATTTGTACACATGTATGTGATCATTTGCATGCACAGAATATACCTGGGTAAACTGAAATGTGTACATTTGAAAAACTGCATTTTGCAAATCTTATAGTATGCATTTGTAAAACTTGTGGCTCTTATTGTACGCATGCAAATCTCATTAAACACATTCATATCGTGTTGCGCGCTTGTGACTACTTTTGAGACTGATTTATCTTCATAAAACTGCTCCCTTGCTGAACTTTTTATTAGTTTCTCCATCTTTTTGAGTAAATTTATCGCTGTGATCAAATAAAACAGAAATATGAACCTATAGCTTCAAATGGCCTCATTGTTTTGGCTCAATCAGCAGCTTGTGCACGCAACCTCAGCACCTCTTATTAGCCTTCTGCGTTGCCCAAATCCCATTATAAAATATGATACTGCAAGCGGCTCAATAATCCCTTTCTGCTAATCCAAGGCCAGCCCTGTGACATGCATCTGGACACATGAACTTCACCAGTTGTCTCTTCATATTATTGATCTTCAGCTGATTAAAACTGCATTTGAAAGCATGTGTAAACTATATAAGTATTAATTATTTCTGCTGCTCCCCCCAAACAAACGCTGCTATAAAAAAAATGCCCCAAGGCCCTGAGCATTATCCACAGTCCCTCGAGTTGCTTCTGAAACCCATGTAATCTGAGGGCTGTAATCCGCTTGTTATTCCTGCAACAGTCTGCTGCCTACATCTGCTGACCATCCAACCCCCATCCCCACCACCTTCCCAGGCCCTTGCTACCCCCAAGATCCTATTAGCTAAGTCCTGGCTATACAGCACTTTAAAGGGATGTGTTGGAGGTAATCCGCACGTTTAGCGTTTTACCCTCAGCAAACCTTGCCTGTAAGCATCCCGGACAATACACCTCTAAGTGCTAAGCCTATTAGTCTCCATTAGCATCCAGGATGTCCTAAAAACACCTTGGGGATAAATCAGGGGATGCAATCGGTTTATGTGGAGCTATGTGGCGCAAACACGCATCTCCTTCTGCACGTACGTTACAATCGCTGACATCGGTAAACAAGGAGGGGAAGGCTTTTCAGTGTTTACGCCCCTGTAACACCCTAGAGGGGCCCTGAACGCCACGCCTCGGACCTGTGCATACTTCAAACCGTGAGTTTAACCAACAGGGAGTATTACAAGATAATTAGGAGATTTGTGTTTGTGATTTAAGTGGATGAGCAGCTCATGAAGATAACAGTTCAATGTTTGCAAAGAGAATTAGCTAACGACCGAATAATGTCGTTTTGATCCAAATTTTGAAGCTGAGCAGTACATAGAGTTTAATATTGAATTTTATTAATGGAAAAATAAAAAATAAATAAAATAAGAAATCTGTGATATTCGTAAACAAACACAAAGATTGTCACATTTGGCGTTTGTAGCAGGATCAAAATTTCAAGAAGTCTGCAGGAATTTTAATAAAAATAATGCGTAAGTAGCTAAAAGAATGTAGGTTAACATCCAATCTGACAAAGAACTGAGGGAAATCTGGGACTATACATCCTAGAAAAAGTGTTTACTCATTGATAAAAGGTGTGCTGATTACTAACGGAATAAAGATGGTAGGAGAGAAGCGAGAAGCAAGCACTGTGGAGGTTATGTAGAGCAATGAGTTTGGATCCAGACTCCACAGAGGATCAGGAAACACAAGTGAAGGCTCCTGAGATGATTCTCAGAATTCAAATCAAACTTAGCACAGATCAATGGTGGCATATTTTCTGATAATAATCGCTATAAAACAGATTACGGTAGTTTCCCGTTACTTTGCGGTTCGTTTATCGCGGACTCGCTTTATCGTGGTTTTTCAAAATAAGATTGGACATGACACACAATGGGCTGATTTATGGATGAGCCGCACGGTTGGCGTGGAATTTTTATTTAAAATAAATTATTTTAAATTATTTAGCGCCGGCTGCACATTTGTGATAAACGAGGGACTACTGTACAACATTCTCTCGTTACATCCTGATTTAATTGACTTATTAGCAAAGTTTGAAAACTTTAACCAGCAATAGTTTGGGCCACGAGTTTCTGCTGCTGGTAACTTAAGGGGAAAAAGCTAAAAAAATAAATAAATAAAACAAGAAATCCAAGCAAAGATCAATACAAGACAAAATTAAAACCCATAAAAAAAGACCTAAATTTGACCAATATTGAATGAAAATTACATTAAAAAAAAAAACCATAATCAGTTTTATTTTCTTCAAATATCTGAAAGGCTGATGAGGAATCAGATGTTAAAACTTATTACAAAATGACAATATTTTTCGGTCTATAAGGCGCACTTGAAATCCTTTAATTTTCTCAAAACTCCACAGTGAGCCTTATAATCAGGTGCGCCTTATGTATGAATTCTGGTTGTGCTTAGTGACCTCAAACTGATTTTATGTGGTACAACTGAACAATGTTGAGTGTTATTGTGAATGACTAAAGTTTGACTTATCTGACTGTTGTTTCGCTTAATGCGCCTTATAATCCCAGTGCGTTTTATAGTCCGAAAAATACGGTATGCATTTTTCAGCATACAATTTACATTTTTAGTGACAACTTTTATGCAAAATCAGAAATATTTATTGGTATCACATTTAAGTCATATTCCCTGTTTTAACATGATTTACGTACAATCATATAATCATAAACAAACACCTGAGATTAAATTCTTGGAGATGTGCTTTTATTGTGAAGCAAACAGATTATTTCCTCCAGGGCTCTGAAACTGAACAAGTGTCAAGTCCTCTCAGTTTACCAGCTGTTCTGGTCCATGAAACTCTGCCGAGCTGCACCTCACCTCTTCCTGCACCGTGCCTTTTACTCTCATCTGAGCCTCACGTGTGCTCCTTTAAGTGGCTCCAGCGCTTCGTGAGTGAAACCGTCACGAAAAGCGAGCAACAAGAAGCCCTTGTCATATTACCCTGGTGAGCAGAGGCCACACTGCAGCTGCCAAATCCGGGGATTGGACTCCTTGGATTTGCTGTTGGCTGCTTAATCTCATTACAGGAATGAATTAAAGAGAAAAAACTGCTGACAACTCAGATGGAGCCTTGAGGAGGTCATATCAGACAGGACAGAAGCAGTGTCTAGTCCTATAATCCCCTAATACAACACATATCACGCACATACACACACACACATTGAGGACATGCAAATTCTGTCAGTTGCACAAAGCAGGTTGGATCACCTCGAGGTAAAATTAATTGAATGTAAAGTCAGGCTGGCACAATGATTTAATCTGACTTTTTAAAATCATTATAAAGATGCTATTTTAAATATTCGGGGCTAATAATCTGGTAAACAACGAGGATTTCAAGCTTCAGCCCAATCAGATCGTCCTTCAGAATAATTACTTAATGAGGCATTACTGTAGTAGCTTTTGTAAAGTTTACTGCTGATAAGACTCTTAAATAATAATAGTAATAACATACAGCTACACTGAGAGCACTTATTTTGTGATTTGTGCTAAAACATGGAATTAAAAACATCGGTGTCATGAATATATTTAGCTGAAAATACTGCTTAATAAATTAGAGAAGTACGACAAGTATGAAAGAAACAAAACGCTGTAAAAAGGTTGCTGTAAACTTTACATAAACTTTACAGTAACTTTACTATAATTATATTGACAGTGTTATTACTGCGTTTACTTTACAGTACCTTACACCAGTGGTACTGTAAATACTGTGTTATAAGTTACAGTATGGATATCATATTTATATTTACAGTTTAAGATACTGTAATATATATTGCACAATTTTTTTTGTATTAATTTACAGTGCCATTACTGTAGTTGACTTTAATATGATGGTACTGTAATGTAATACTGTTGTATGTTACAATATTTTTACTGTATTTATATTTACAAATAAAGCATTATAAAGTACTGTAAATTAAATAAAACAATAATTTAAATATAAATACAATAACATACAACAAAGTATTGTTACTGTATTTAATTTAGAGAACTATTACCATATTATACTTTACAGTATCATTACTGTATTTTTAGTTACAGTAATAGTATTGTATTGGTAATAATATGTGTCTATGGGAATTTTGGTTATTATAAAACTAGTTTAGTGTAACTTTCAATTTACATTTTTACTATTTTAGATAGTTTGCGACAATTAATGATGTAAGCATGATCAAGAGTGTATTATGTACCTGTAGTGTTATATAACTACAGAGTACATGCTTATTTAATTAGATAGCCTAATTAACTGAAACCTTTTCATTTTGTGCTAAATATATTTTTCATTTAGCCAAAAAAAAACCAAACCCATACAGTTATGACACATACCATTCTCCAAATCCCCCCAAAAATCTACTAATAAAATGTTGCATCATATAAAAGCTGTTTTTATCAATATAAAATTAGACGAGCAGGTAAAAGAGGTGGTTTTACCTTCAAGTTCCCAGCAGGGAGTTGCTCTCAGACCTGTTTCTGTCCCAGTTTATGTAAAAAAAACAAATAAAAATCAGGTGTAAAGTTTGACCAACAGTCTTTCGTTTTCAGCTTGTTTCTGTCTCTTCTTCTTCCAGCTCGTTTGAACACAATCTGCTGCCAGTAAGGTGCCTTAACTAAACCGGACCTTTTAAATACCGATTCATTTCATCTCCATTAGCCGGCCTTATCTCCTGCAGTAAGCCCTCCCTGTCCTGACATCACTGTGATCTCCCATCCGACCGCCTGCTGCACCTCACTGATGTGTAATTACTGAAGCAGCACTGCTCCTAAGCAGGGAGCGCTAAACCTCTTTCAACGTTTACCTCACTAATCCTGTGTTAGCACTTTAGGCCACAGTTAAGACACCTAAAGGCTCAGCTTCTTTTTCCGGGGGGCAAAATGGTCAACGCTTCGTCCTGCTGCGTGGAGAGGAACTGACCGCCGTGGGTTTGTGGAGCCTCCACAGCCCCACAGATCAGCTTTTTAACAAGTCTGGTTTTGGGGTGCCATAGAGAATTTCACTCCCCACAGGGTGCTGAAGGGCTGACCCAAACGTGCTTGGTGGTAATTTGCCAGAAATCCGACTAAATGTTGTCTGGATCATCCTCTCAGACCTCTTAATCTGACAGTTTGTGCTGGCCAAGCTTACAGCATGGGCCTGCACTTCTGTGAATGATGTTTTCTGTAATGCCCGGTGAGTGCCGAGGTGCTCCCAGTTGGTGGGCGGCTGAGAAAATTAGCCAAACAGACACTATGAGGAGGGAAGAGGGGGTTTCTGAAGCCCCCGCTCATCAATCTGCAGCCACACAGGCTGTACAGAGTGCAAAACCTTTACAGGAAGAGGTCAAAAATGTAACAATTAAAACACCTTTTCTGCATTTTAGGCTCCAATACTTTTGCGTCCTTTACATTTGCTTAAAATAAAGATCTGCATTTAAAGCTTTTAAATTATTTACTTTTTTACATATTTCATAACATAAAACTGTCCCAAAAGTTAAAGATGTTCAAAAATTCTTAAAACGAGTCAGGAGGGGATGGATGGTGTCAACAAAGGTCCCATTTGTTTGTTTGTGCATCCCCCAAAATAAACTGAATGTTGGACGCAGTTTTAAAATACTGCATTTTATACATATATATATATATATATATATATATATATATATATATTTATAGCGGTGGTGGGATGCATCACAAACAATGATGAGTCCAGCTACAGGCGAGAGGTGGAACACCTGGAGAGCTGGTGCAAAGAAAATAACTTTCACATCAATGTGAAGAAGACAAAGGAGATGATTGTGGACTTCAGAAGGAACAAACACACCTACACCCCCTGAACATAAGAGGATCTGCAGTGGAAGTGGTCTCCAGCTACAAGTACTTGGGTGTACAAATGAATGACAACCTCAGCTGGAGCAACAACACCACCAGCCTGATCAAGAAAGCTCATCAGAGACTCTACTTCCTGAGGCGGCTGAGGCGAGCTGGTCTGGGAAGCTCAGTCCTCACCTCCTTCTACAGGTGTGCAGTGGAGAGCATCCTGTGCTCCAGCATCAGCGTGTGGAATGGAGGCTGCACAGCTGCAGAAAGAAAAGCTTTGCAGAGAGTGGTGAAGGCTGCACAGAAGTCTGTTGGAGTCAGTCTCCCCACCATCACAGACATCTACACCTCTAGATGCAGGAAAAGGGCCACCTGCATCATGAAGGACCCCACTCACCCAGCACACACACTTTTTGCTCCGCTCCCTTCAGGAAGGAGGTTGAGGAGCATTAAGTGTAGAACAACTAGACTGAGGAACAGCTTCTACCCTGAGGCTGTTAGACTCATGAATCTCTAACTAGAATAATCACTGTGAAAAAATCACATCATGTTGCTGCTGATCTGTTTCATGTTGCTGCTGATCTGTTTCATGTTGATGTGTTCATTCGTGCACATCTGCTCACACAGAATCATGTTCGTGCTGCTGTTCAACGTAATGTTTTTATGCCATTAGTGCTTAGTGTATTTTAGTTTATCTTTTTCTTAGTTCATATCTTAGATATTATTACTGTTTTTCTTATACATTTTATTGTTGGATGTAACTGGGACCCTGTGGACATAATTTCGCTCCACCACATGTACCACATGAGGTGCGAATGACAATAAAGAAACTCTGACTCTGATTCTGACTTTATTTTCTAAATGTTTCCTGCCAAGGAGAATTTCAGCTTTTCAGTTTCTCATTCTATTAAAATTAAAAGGTTTTCTCTGGACTTTTGGCTTTCTCTCTCGTTTCCTGACCAGTTCCTGTGCTGGACCACAACAGTAGATTTGCTGTAAGGGATTAAAACGGTGATGTGTCAGGATTTTGTGTCGACACCGCTCTAGTTCATCCGTGAGTTCAGGAGCCTGTTTATGCCTGGATGATTGACAGGTGAGAGCTTGAGTCATTCATTATAATCAATTCATAATAATCAATCCATAATGATCAGCTTCTGGACTGAAACTGAGTGAAAAAGCTGCCAAAATACAAATAAATACTTGGAGAGATCTTCAGGGACTCCAGCTGAGATTGATGCCAAATTATATGGATGAACATCCATCCATCCATCCATTATCTTTACCCACTTATTCCATTTTGGGTCACGGGGGTCGCCGGTGCCCATGTCCAGCAATCACTGTGCGAGGGGCGAGGTACACCCTGGACGGGTCGCAAGTCCATCACAGGGACACATAGAGACAAACGAGACAA